CGGTATGGGGCAACCGAGATGAGTTGGGTGTTAGACTGAAGATCAGTGGTAAATTCTACTTCTCGATTAACTGGTAGTTCATCAGGAAATACGTCTGGAAAGTTTCGGACAACAGGGATATCTTGAATGTAAATTTCTTCTTTGGGTTTGCCTATTACGAAAAAAGAAATAGTTAAGTTAATGGCATATGATTGAATTCAATATACTACCACCATGTGCGAACAATATTTAAGATTTTATTAAATAGTGAGATTTTTTGTTAGGGATGTTGAATACAAGCCTTTTGTGATAACAATCAACAATAGCATGATACGCCGCTAATCAGTTTATCCTTAAGATTACATCAAAATCTCCTGTATCTAGTGCTATTAGATCTACGCTCAATTTTCTACCTGTTATTTCTATGATGCAAGATTTGTATATAACATTTTCTAGTAACATTCCGTTTTTTTAGGTGTAGACACTAACAATATAAAATCAAAACGTTCAAGTGATATATTTAAATATTGAATAAAGACATGTGAAACAAAAGAATGCTAAGCACCAGTGTCAATCAAAACATGTGCAAGATGTTTGCAGATAGTATACATACCATGAATCATATCTGGTTTAGCTTCAGCATTTTGCTGGGTGAGCGTGTAGACTCTACCCTGGACCCTGGGCCTGCCTGATTCTGATTTTTCGGGCATTCTCTCGCGTAATGTTGGGCATTCCCGCATATGCGACAGGTGTTGTTGAGACGATAACAGGGTCGGTCCCCGCGATCCTTGTCATAGTGCTGACAAATCTTACCATGTCTTGCTATCAGGGCCTGGGGAGGAGCATGAGATGCGAGCCTTGGTCTCTTGTTCTGTTGGTTCAGTGCAGTAGGTACTAGTTTGCAATGCGGAATCAAGGGTCTAGAGTTTTCCATTGCTGAGGGAAAAATACGGATGTTCCTCTCGATCAACTGTGTCTTAGCCAAGACGGCCGAATAAGTACCAAGTTCAAACATATATAGCTGTTGTCTGATCTCAAGACGAAGACCCCATTTAAACCTTCTTGCCTTCCTGTCTTCATCTGTTATGCTCTCAGGGGAATCCCGACCTAACTTCAGGAATTTCCGAGTATACTCTGATACTGATAAATCTTCTTGGGCTAGTTGCGCAAACTCCATTTCCTTTAAATGTTGGAGATATTTCGGAAAGTACTCAGCATTGAAGGCTGTCAAAAATTGTTCCCAAATGACCAGAGTGGGTAGAGTAACCTGCTTGAGTTGCCATCAACGCCTTGCCTCACCTATGAGCATACATGTGACAAAAACAACCTTTTGTTGGGGAATTACCCCAAGTGTCGCGAAGACTTTATCTATCTTTGCCAACCAGTACTCAGTTTATTCAAAAGTGAATACCCTTGCAAAAGTAGATGAGTTAAGTCTTTTGTACATTGATATAACTCGGGTCCATCATAGGCAAAGCTCGGTCCTGCTGGAGGGGAATTGGATTGTGCTGGGAAGGAATCAGGTGGCCCTATGGCGGCACCGGGTTGTACGGTAGAGGCACTGGATTGTAATGCGGAGGTGTCGAATGGTACTACGGAGGAACTGAATTGTACCGTAGGGGTATTGGATCCTCTCGATGTGGAGGTGGCTCATACTATGGTAGGGGTAGAGGGGGATCAGACAACTCCCTCATCTCCTCTCTAGCCTGTTGGACAGAAATCAGTCTTTCAAGTATTTCGAAGAGTCGATCAACGTCTTCTCGAAGTGATCCCTCTTGGGATGCTCTGTTTAGCGGGGGCCTCTCTCTGCTCATGTTTCCTTACGTACATTACACGACAATAGTTGAGGTTTTAATTGTATTAAATTTATCCTAACCTTATGTGTAAGGAACGATCCCGAAGAACGTGACTCTGATACGAACTATAAAAACCCAAAAACTCCTAATAGGGATTTTAAGGGTTTTGGTCCAATCATGATAATGATAATAGTAATAACAATTATAATAATACTGTATTCCTTTATTCATCAGAAAAATTAACTGCTCAAATATTACATTCTTTATACGTTTACTTAAAACGCCCAAATAGAAGATATGAGAATGCTTTGGAACTCAAAACGGAAAAACATTAACAATATATATGATTAATTTCTACTCGAAATTGACGAAGCGGAAGAGAAAATTGTTTAGCTGGTCTCTTACTGTTCAGAATTCAGGTTTTAGTCGTTCTAATCTGAAATGGTTAATAAGAAATGGGTTACTTACACTAGTTTAGTAAAAATATCAACGTCTTACCATTGACACAGAAAATCAAAGAGTTGTAGAAAATATAGAACGACCAATGGAGTATACTTTTAATAAAACCCGAATGCTAGTGCATTCGTTACACATTTCACTAAAAACGTTAGCATTTGCTATCATAATCTGTAACTTCTCAAACACCATACATTTAGATAAAATCATAATAACAATTTAATTATAAATAGCATATAGTTCAATAGGCATATAACGTTTAACTCTTCACTATTTGTCCAAAATCGGATTCCTTATCATGCCCATCGCTACTCTATCATTTTACTTTTCCCTATCGGTGTCTCTGGGGGTCCATAGGGATCCCCATTTTTCGTGAATACAAATACTTTCTTTGTAATTAAATCGGTCGTCCCTATACCCGGTCCAGTAATGGGCACTATAACTAAAAACCGTCTCAATACTCCGTTCGGTATGAGCGAAATTTACGAACTCTTAACTCCATCCGGTATAGGACTTCCCAACCCCGTTCGGCTGAGGGTAATGTCCACGGTAGAGTTCACCTTATGTATCAAGTCCGTACACTATTTTCTATGACATTCGGTAAGCCCTCTTATTTTACGACATTAGTTTATGCATGTGCATTTTCCAAGCAGACCCATACTTCAAAAAAATACAAGAAAACAAAAATTCATATTTCGAAATTGTTAAAGAAATAAAAGTGAATTAAAATATCATAATAGGATAAAAGCACCGCATGTCACAATAACATGAACAATAGGATGAAATAATAACTTAAGGTAGAATTTTAACAAGCAGAGAGTGAAAATGAAGCGCAGATAAAACCGACTAAAATGAAATATAAATAAGCAATTAAAATCAAATAAAGATAGAGGCAAAAATAACATATAGGCAACGCAATAAACTAGAGACAAACATGAACATATCAATTATTGGCTCCATCGGCAACTTGTATTTAATTAATTAAGGAATCATCAAACTGTTTATAATTTTCCGTTTATTATTGATTTATCTTTAATTCAACTGTAACCGGAGAAAAATGTGAAAGATTTTTACACTTGATCAATGTTCAGGACACTACTTTTTTCACTATGGTTCTCGACGGTTCCTGATTCTTGAATTTCTTGGGTTTTCTTGATAAAATTAGAAAATGTATATCAAGATGGTATGAAAATATGCAAGGAACAACAAAAAAAAGCAAAAAAACTCATTAGGGGTTGGGTTGGGGTTCCAGCACGGCGACGACGCCTGGTCCTTCTTCTCCAGGCTTCTCCCGAACCGATTTTGGCCGGTTCTTGGTGGAAATGTGTTTAAATTATGGTTATGGGATTTTTTTTGGAGAAAGGAGGGGGAAAAT